AAATGGGCGAAATCGCCTCTTGATGTCACTAACTATCTTGACTCTTGACTCTTGACTACAGCTGCCTGAATTCAGCTTCTTCAAAGAGCGCATTGCGCCTCACAGGGATGAAATTCGTGGATTGTTTGATTCCCATATTAGTTTCGCCTGTTTTTCTTTTTTAAGCAGAAACAGTAATGCTACAAAATGTACGAAAGTCTCCTCAAAAGAAAGGCTCCTACTTTCATTATCAGCTGCCTTTAATCTTTCATCCATTAAACTTGTTCATTTGGAATTTCGTGAACAGTGAGCATTAGGCCACCTTGTGCTTCTGGGCGCTAGGCACTAGGCCTCCCCCGACTCTCATATCAGTTGAAATCATTGCCTCGCTCAGGCAGTGTGCTTTCTCACCATCCCTAGAGTTTGGACTTCGTCTCGTCAGACTTCCGCCTCTTTGGGCACTTGTAGGACACTCGTCATGGACATCACTTTCAGAATGACTTTGAAACTCAAAAAACGTCGGTCGGGGAACGCGATGCAGCCTTTTTTATCGCAGAGGCTTATAAGCCCTGGAACATCGCTGGTGAAAATGAAGATAAATCAAGATTACTTGGAGAAATAGCATTTTCTTCCAAATGTTGCAACCCACCACCAGTACAAGTTTCACGGACTTAGTATTGAGGGTATATGAGAAAAAAAGGAAGGATTGGTTTTGGGGTTGCCCTCATAGTGCAAGTAGTTGTTCATTAGTCCCTAGACTCTCTAATTACCATACAATTAAAAATAAATTGCGTTGTTATATATTTCCTATTTTTCAGTTCTACTGTCGCAATCAATCCGATGAAATTACAGTACCATGTGAACCATTACCACCTGAAACAGTGATCATGTAATAACAATAATTGGCCATCATGTAAAAGGCAATATTCCTGGTTTTGGAGCTTTCGAGTCACTTTCTACTGCTAATATGGCTTGGTATTTTACTAGTATGACATCATTTGATGCATTGTATACTTGAGTAAACCTCTGTGCTCTCTGTATGATATGCCTCCAAAATGTGCGAAATTTTTCATAAGGTTTTACACCCCACTAGTAATAACAATGCAGTTGTTAGACTGAATGAATGAATTCACCTGACGGTCGGGGTTCATCGATTGTAATTACTCCAATAAGTGTGGGCTTCACTAATATACTTGCGATATTATGACTGACTCCGACATGCTAGTTGCAAAATTAATTATGTTCGAAGATCAAAATTATGTTTAAAAAAAATCAAAATTCGACTAATAAATTGCGAATATGAATTACGCAAGAGCAATGCAACAACAATCATTCAAGGTTTCACATGAGTCCAAAGTTCTTGAGGCAAAGGGAAGCGGCTGCAGCCTTTGCATCCTTCTTGCTTTTGCTTGGCTCGTCTGGTTGATAAACCGTATTCACAGCGACCTTTTGGAATAACGTTCTCACTCGTAACACTCGAGCATCACAAAAAACATGCTTAACCTAATTGGGTATTAAAATTGTGGGATCTCACCTTCATGAGGTACTTCTTTTCATGCGCTGGTCCACTTTCATTGACATCAAAATATTCAACTTTCCAGCCGTTCTTGTCACAGTGCTCCTTCAGTGCTTGAACTGGGTTCTCTAGGAGACGAAAGAAAGGTAAGTACATATAAGATTCGTAACCAAAGCAGAGGAATTATCATTTACAAATGAATTTAAAATATGTAAATATGGATTAGTTAATATCATAATTCATTCTGAAGCCAATCCTGATGGTGAATATTCTTAAAAATTACCCAGGACTTAAATTGCAATGTCATGGCAAGGAATCATCATGATCATGGTCCTCAGATCTAAATTTGCAGCTAGGCAGAGCAATAACATGTTCGGGTATAATTAGGCGAATACACTAAATCATCAGTATCCGGTGCCATCGCAAGAAACACGCCTCGATGAAACATGATGTCAGTTAGCGAGGTTGAGTGAGTCTGAATAGCATTCGATTCCTGGGTCGGAGAGAAAGTACTCTTATCAGAACATCCATAGTTTGCGAAGTATAATACTCATCAGTAATCACATCATGGTTTCCTTCAACAGTTACACGCAGTTATAGGGATTTCCAGAAGTAGAAATTCCCTTCTTCCATGATTGACTGACGTATATGAAGCATTGCTCACTTGAATTATCTTGGAGCTTCGCTATGATGTCTTCTCGGCCCATTTCTATGAGGATCTTCTCAACACTCTCGTAGGTCGGCCTGGGGTTTTTCTGGAAGAGGATGTAGAAGGTCTCATCAATCTGCTTGGAATACGTCTCCTTTTTCAGCATCACTTCTTGCGACACTGAAATGAGACTCTTCTCCGACAGCTTGTCCAAGAAGGTGTCCATGCTGACCAACGTATTTCCATCCTTGAAGATGCCTTTAAGGATTCTTAGGCGACTCAGATCGGGTGAGTCCATTTCCACCTGAAAATACGCATTTGTTTATTATACTAAGAACTTAAAATATTTAGAAGAAATAAACATTTGGATGTAACACAACCTTGGTGATTTGAGTGGGCAATGAACATATGACATCATATTATGTTTAACGTGTTGGAAGTGTGAAACATAATTAATTGGATTGCATGTAATATTGCCTAGCTAACATCGAAAGAGAGGGGGAATGAGGACGAGATTGCAGGAGAATTTTATGCAATTGAGGATTTCCCTGGGAGGTGCTTGCTCTTTTGGAAGATGTTTCGTCACTGTAAGCAAAATATTTTTTTAAAATGACGTAAATAGAACAATGACGCTTTTAATTCACTAGACAACGAGAAAGTTCTCAAACTATGTCGTAGCAGAAAATAATGAAATAGTCCAATGTACAATATTCGAAATATTCCAAAATATATCGGGTGAATCCATTTACTTTTAGGTAATTCAATTGCTTTCCTGAAACCAGAGTCGTCTATATCCCAGCTGCCTCATATTACATTTTAAAGATGGCCGGTTATATATTGCTACGTCTGCACTTACAGGAAAGAGGCATCCACTTGCGAGATGGACATTACAAATTTACCAACAAGATATAGTTGGAATAAATAACCATAAGACGCTTACAGTTTAAAGGTCGCTGTCGCCGAGATGAAGAGGCTTTCCTATTCTGGGAGAGCCTTGGAACATTTGATGAAGAACGAGAAAGAGGAAAGAGCTTGTAGTCGACTGATATATCGTTCATCCTCCTATGCACTTCCATAAGTTTTATCTTTTTCCCTTGGCTTTAAGAGCTTATCTAGTTTCTAATTATAGCTGCTGCAAGTGCTGCACTTCCATCGTTGGCTGAGATAAACTTCAGCTTCTGAATTGTAATTATTTGGTAATTTGAAGAATATAAGGGATATTGCATTATAAGGGGACAATTACAACTGTCCTCCCAAGCCTCCTCTTCCATTTCTTCAAGTTCTACTACAACTGATGAATTAATTATAGCAGTGAATTTCCCAAGGCACCTTTAGAATCTCGGTAAATGCTACGGTGGAGGGGCTTTCTTTGAAATGAGATGATTATGTAGCCTTATATCCCATCCCATCCCATCGATGAAGGAAAATGTATATCTCACAAGATCTTCCCTCATATCAGCGGCCCCTCCACATCTTACAATCCATGGTAGGAGAGGATAGCACACATATGACATTTTCCCTTGGTTATACCTAGAAGCATTCATTGTTAAGAGATATCGAAGGAATCAAGAGTCACTTGAATTTTTTGGGAGTGTTCCTGATAAGGTTTGCGTGCGATGAGAGGGACGCAATTCAAAAGCAAATTACTGTGGGAATCTAAAATAAATAATTGATTGCTTCTAGTCTGCATGAAGAAAGTCAGTGGAAAGAACATCTTTGTTCCAAATTTTTATTCGTGCTTGAAGTCTTGAAACGAAACATACTAGTGAGGGAAATAGTACAATACATTATCCCACCCGCTTGAATGTCATGCAGCCAGTGATTTGTAAGAAGAAGAAAGTAACATTTAAAAAACTCACATTTAACATGCAAAAAATTACGCGATAGTCATACAATAACGTTATGACTTTCAAATGAGCCCTAGATATTCTGGACAAAGGAAAGCAACTTATGCCCTCGCCTCCTTTTTATTTGGTTTCTTTTATGTTAGAGCCCTGCTCTGCTCAAAGCTTAACTATACGGCTAACTTTCTTTCCCGCTCGAAAATTGTTGACCGCCATAGAGGTGCTGAAAGACTTTGAATGAGCTTCAACATTTGCACATCATTGTACAGTTCCCCTACCTGGGCCTTACCAATTAATTTCTCGCAGTTTGACTAGAAATACTCCAAAGAGTACTTCTCATCCCATGTACTCAATCTCCAATTTGAACAATGCCTCAGCCGCGATTGACAGAAATCTCAACTAACCTGTCAAAATTAATTAATTGAGGAATCTTCAGTGACTTCTCCTACGTTGTCTGTGGGAGAAGATCAAGTACTGCATGAAAAATACTTAAATCTCATAACAAGTCCCTCCCTGACATCATTGAAGAATCGAATCCGTCTGGCTTCATTTGTTAGGAAGCTCATTTTGTTCGAGTAAGCGTCTCGCCCAGGGATGGGACAAGTGTTGGCTGCCACCCTAGCGCCAACGTGGAGCCTACACAGGCGACACAATGCGATGTGGAACCGCACTCACCCACTCTGAGGAAAAATTATGAAAAATCAACCGTGCCTTTTTAGAACGCTAAGAAATGGTTTGCGTGCTGCAAACCGTCTCCATACGGGTGCGTGCGCTTGATGGAAATATGAAATTGGAATGAACGCGCGATCTCGACTGGGAATCTCCATTTCACCGGATTTCCGTTTCAGCATTATTATAACAAATTTTAGACTTCGTTTTCGCTGTGAGGGATTCATCAAATTTGAGATCCCTTCGGCAGGTAACTACTAGTCAATAAAACAAGGTGAGGAAGAGAGATGTCGTGCAATAAATTTCATGCGAATTGGAGAAATCAGAAAATGGGCTTTTAAAAATGAGATTGCTTGCTTTCCTGTAAATTGAAACTATTTCTCAATTTCTCCTGTTTGTCCGATGTTATATGTTGTATTTTTCTACAGACCTCTGAATGAAGATCAATGAGGCTACGAAAAAAATGAAATTATTGCCTCAGGTTGCCAGGGATCGATTTCAATCGGATACTAATGCAACACAAAATTCCTAAGTAGTTCCATCACACCCTTATTCGTGTATTAGATGAACTACTTTATTTCCTATGCCTTAGTCAACATTTAATGAAAATGTCGTTTACAGTGTGGTGCGCCTGATGTGGAAGGTTTTCTTTCCTTCTCCCTTACCATTTTTGGTGCTGGGAAGTACTATGCCATACACTAGCATTGCCTGATGGGACAGCAAAACATTTCTTGCCAGGGCCGCTATGCCTGGCGACTTCCATCCGTTGAAGTGAAAAAAAAGTAAATGCTGTCACACATACAAACACACATTAAGCGAACAGGATCGCGGACGCTTAATATTGAGACCTCGGTTGCGACGCGACCGAGGTCCTCCGGTTTGAATAAGTTCACATTTAGATTATAGTTCGCAGTTAACGAAGAATATGTTCCCGGAGTTCCTTCATCGAAAGTCGGAGATCAGATTGTCAAATCACGGGCGCATTGTCGTGAAGTTTCACTTTACAATTGAAGCATGAGATGCAGTTCCTCGATGGAGTGAGGGAATTTTTGTGGACCTTTATTTTCATTGGCCTGTAGAATCTAGAGAAGCAAGAAAATCGCTGGAACCAAAATTGGCATGAAAGGTCAGAGAAAGGTGCTCGAGTTTCCTTGTACCTCTCCTGACAGGTCTCTCAAAAGAAGGGAAATTAGTTTCTGTATTCCTCGAAGTTAGAGGAATGCAAGGACTAAAAGGACGCACAAAGAATGGTGAGGCCAATTGCTCATCTCCAGGCGCGTCAGAGCATGACAAAGACCTGCCATCCCATGCATCATGCAAAAGACATTCTGTCAGCGTTGAATGCAGCTGTGCATTCAGCGCTGACAGAATGTCTTTTGTCAACTTTGATGGAGGAGGGGAAATATTTGCTTTGGGAATTTCTGAGTGCTAGCGTCGCTCTGTCGCCGTGAGTTCCAAGCGACAAACGTGCAGGGAACTGCTCGAGGATTCCTCGATTCGAGAACTCAGAGGAAAATGGACTCAAGCTGGAAATCGTCGAAGTGAGTCGAGTAGGACGAAATTGCAATCCTCGTTCCTCGTTGAAATACGTGTCATTCATTTAATTCCATTTCAGGGTGCATCCCGGAAAGGGTAAAGGCGGTCTCTCGGTATTTTCAGCCGCAGAGTTACCTATGACCGTCAGAAGGCATGCCGCGTCTCGACAAAGTGAGCCGAAGTCTCGATGAAGTCCGCAGTTAATTTCTAAGTTTGAGCAGACAAATCTTTCATTTTCTTCTCTAAGGGCATGCCGATGGATCATGACGCCAGTTTTACGGATTATATAATTGTAGCGATTGCAACAGCTCATGCCCGTTATTCGGATAGAAGCAAAGTCGCGTGTTTCTTGTTTCAATTCTCTTCGATGCTTGTTCGAATGTGGGACACAATCGACACCAGGGGCTACAAAGGACACACGAATTTCCTGAATATCCATTTGTCGCCTTCAAGAAAGACTAGTAGAATGAGCTGAAGATGTTGCTCTCATCAGGCACATCACTCCTGCTGATTACGTCCGTAATTCGTTTTCATTTTACATTTGAAATAGCGGTGCTTGTGAATTGGAGCATTATCAGTGTCGGTTGAATCTTTCTAAAATTAGTTCATATTTAAATCAAAACGCGATCAGATAGATTTTAATTGGTGAAATAAACATCTCCATAACAGCAGATGGAAGACGTGCAACTTCACAGCAACTACCAGGGGAAATGAGAACGTACTTTCGAGTTGCCATCGTCGCGGGCATGAGCGCCCTTGCCGTCATTCAGGTACTGAACAATTAAAAAATTCGCATAGTCACCGCATGTGAGAGGCAGTAAACAATCTAAAACATTAATTCCCATTTAGGTTATTTCGCTGATATCGGAATATATGTCGTTCCCGACAAACACTCTGTACAGAGTGGAGGAGAGGGATAGAATACCACCACCCGCCGTCACGATCTGTCCCAGGAATTCCATGCGAAAGCAGGCGGACGGGACTTCGAGCATGTTCCGATCTGTCCTGATGAAGAATCCAGATGCAGCCAGAGGACAGACGCAGGTGTTGTCTAAAGTTTTTCCCCTCGGTGTCGATGACGTGATAGGGAACATGGACTACTGGAAAAGCAGTATGTGGCTGTGAATCGTGTCCTCTTTTAATTTGCATATTTCCTGCTAATTGATAGGTAAATTCGAATTTCAGAGGGGAACTGGACCACACGATCACGTGTCCCTTGGACTCCGCAAATTACGAATGCTTCATGCTC